GTCCATCCTCGGACCCCTGTTGTTAATTGTCTAAGTTTTACTTTACTTTACCGACCATGCGGCTAAGCTAGTCCCGAGGGCTAGACGAAGCAGCTAAAGGTGGTCCCGAGGATAAAAACATACAACCAAAGGTGGTCCCGAGGGTAAGAGCATACAGCCAAAAGTGGTCCTGAGGGTTACACCATACAGACAAAAGTGGTCCCGAGGGTCAGACCATGCCGCCAAAGGTGAGCCCACGGGTTTGTCCAGCCAAAGCTGGTCCCGAAGGTAGGGTGTCCGGCTTGGGGCAGAGTTCAAAGCTTCGTTCCCAAAGCCTCGTTTATGTCGTTGTTAGCGAGAGAACCTGGGAACGACGGTAAGAGATTTTAAATTTCTGGAAACTTACTTTAGCCAGCGATTTTCGTCCAACTCTACAAAGTGGTACAATGACAATGTGTCGAAAACGCCTCTTAAAGCCTGGACACTCCTGTATGCGAGCTGTAATCGAAAGGCAAAAAAGGAAACGCAAATGTAAGAAACAGTACGTTTGTTAGAAAAATTAATTCTTCATTATAGAATTGAGAAGGAAAAGAGCAAAGATGAGGGGAACCTAAACCGCAGGAAGCCAGTTCGCTAAAGACATTTTGAGGTTAATTAAGGAAAAAATAAAAAAATTGAATGACTGCGCAAAGATACCTTGTCTACAAACTTTTCAGGTTTTTCGTGGGTTATCTGAACATTTACTACATCTTCTTGCGACCTGAAATCAAATGCTGAGATAAGAACCATTGGCTATAGCCTCACACGCAGACGTTCTTAGGGGTCCAGGAACGCGTGACGAACCCCTAAGAACGTCTACATTGGCTAGGGAGGATTGAGATACGAGTGATACTTTTGTTTCCCTTGGTTACCGTGTACAAGGCCATTTTCAGTGTTAAATCTTGACAAAATATGTTCGAACATTTTCTAATGAAAACCACTGAGTAGTTCTTTTTCCTGTAGTGGTGTACATCACACCCTACAAGGTTGGTCTAACTTTTGAGTCTGTAGATAAAATCTTTAAGTGTGACCATTCAAATGAAAGCTACTGAATAGTACTTTCCTGTGGTGCTGTTTATTATGCTGTACAACGTGGCTCTAACATTTGAGTCTGTGGATGAAATCTTTAAGTGTGACCATTAAGGAAAGCTTAGCTACTGAGCAGTACTTTCCAGTGGTACCGTAAAGTACGCTGTACAAGGTGGTTCAAACTTTTGAGTCTGTGAATGAAATCTTAAAGTGTGATTATGAAATGAAAGCTACTGAGCAGTACTTTCCTGTGGTACCGCAAAGTACGCTGTATAAGGTGGTTCTAACTCCATCCAGATAAACACAGCTCATTTTTACATGATTTGCAACTAAAACGTCTTTTATTCCGAAGACTGCGCTCTTGTAAGCATGAATTTTTGTTTCAGTACCAGACTGGATGTGGCATCCTGTACTCTTCATCTCCTAAAGTGTTTCCATCTTTACCAAAATGATTGATTGGAACGTCCTTGAAGTGCGGTTCAACTTGCTGTTTTTTAGTGACACTTGTGGACATAAGAGCGACCTAGAAAAAAAGGAAATTGATTCTAGTTTCAGTAGTGGTAAATACATCACATGATATGCCTATGAAAACGAAATTTTTAAAAATTAAAAGACTCTTCTTGATTCTGATTCAGCATTCGAGGTCGCAGCCCCGCATACATTAGGGACCTTACGATCCGACCAACGGCGACGTCCATGAAAACGTCGCTGAAAAATAGACTTCGCATCCTTTCACTTTTTTTCACAATTAATCCAACGGTCCCAGTTACTTAAAAGAAGGGAAATTGGGTTGAAGCTGAAGAGAAGAGACCGCTCCCGAGTTGTGACAGAGATGGTAGAATTTATCACCTTTCCGTTTCCGTTTCCAAGTAAACTTAAAATTTGGTCAGGTCACGTCCCAGTTATCCAGGGACGGCAAAGAAATTTTAAAAAAAATCGTGACGTTCATTAAACCTGTTGCTTTTTTGACGTTCCCATTGTCGTTGCCGTCGTAGTTTAGTAAGGTCCCTATTCTCTCTTATCTGGTCACGAAAAGTGCCGCCGAGGACGCTGTTTGCGTCGCCTTGTCCTCAGGAATTTTGTTTACCAAGTGAAAGGAAAATAGAGACTGGTTTCATGTTGGCTGACTAAAACAAATAGCAATATTGCGGATGTCCTTAAACTATGACGCTTCAGTTTCTCAGAAAAAAATCCTTGATGGCCAGAGAAAAATGTTCGTGTTGCAAGGTATCTTCCATTTTTTAAAAAACTACCACTGTCAATAATAAATCTTCTAATTAATGTATTTTAAACTTTTGTCCGCTAAACACTCTATCGCTATTTCTTAAGAGGAAAAGATAGCTCAAATCTCTTTGCTTTAAAATTATCACCCTACCCATAAATAATACCCTTAGAAGTCCTTTTTTGAAGCCAAAGTCCTTGCTGATATTGATGAGGAAAAAAATGATTTAGTCCGGTTTTTCCCGGAAAACGTGAGCATTGCGGAACTGATTGCTTATTCGAAGCAAGAAACGAAAAAAGAACAATTTCGCTTCCTTTTCTTTTGCATTAAGTAATTTGTGTGTCTGAATGAAACGAAAAGAAGGTTATTTTTGTAATTTATCAGCACTCCGGTTGTGGAATGCTTGTTTATTTCATTCTTAGTTTCCTTCGATAATTACTATCATAATCGGCGTCATCGTCATCAACATCATGCATCATCAATTAGATAAAAGAAAACTAGCTTTACTTCCAATTCTAAACACGGAACCGGCCGGAATTTTTTCTCTGGAAATGATCATAGTTTTAGGTATTTTTTTTCATTTTTTTTCATTTTTTTTTCCTGGAAACTCCATTAATGACTCAGTAATCTCAGTAGCTTTCTTTTCAATCGATCAAAAAGTGTTTTATTGGAAGAAAGACCTTTTTTCCAGTAGAGCCAACAACAAACACTTCCTATCCCCGAATAAGCACTTCTGGCAAAGAAAACATAAAAACGAATGTTTCCGTAAAATTTATTCAAGAAAGCCACAGTGCCGGAAGACAAAAATAAAAGACAAAATAAATAGAAAGAAACCCCGGAAAAAATACTTAGAATTTGAGTTCTTTGTACGAACGAACTACCTCAAGTAATAGAAAGTTGATAATTTAATACTTTATAAAACGTACACCGACATTTAAAAAAAGTGTCAAAACACCTTGCTCTTGAGTGTAAAATACGCCTCGCTTATTTTCTTTCTTTTCCGCATTGATTTTCCACGCATCAAGGAAAATAATCTAAAGCGTCCGAACAGGCATTGCACATTTTTCATTTCCTTTCCATTATTTCACTTTCAAGTGGACGAGATTTCAAATAACGACGACGAAACAAGTAAAAGCGACTGAAACACGATTCTGATCCAGAAAGAGTTTTCGTGGAAAATGTATTTTTAAGTGATAAAATTGCTTACATTCAGAGGGTGAAATAATTTTTCTTTATCAGGTTTTATTTACGGTTAAAACTAACGATTAAAACCACGTTTCGACCTGTAAAGTGCGACTTTAATACGACAGAAATTAACATCAACTAGTAAAATTAAAACACGGAAATATTAAAAGCAATAATAAGAAATTATAGTAGAAATTAGTTTCATCGCCACATTTTCGCATCAAAAATGAATTACAATGTGTTAAAGTCAGTATATAACCAAAATTACCAAAACGTCTTGCTGGGGCTGGAATTTCCAAAATCTATAACTCTAGGAAGTTTGTAGTTTTGAATGAAACAACAATATTCTTATGAGGCCAAATTCTGAAACGACGAGAATTAAAATTACTTTAAAATACTATATATGATTTCCTGCATATGTAATACAATTTGTGTTCGATAAACGTGCGGCCGTTCACAGTTTTACCTACCCCTGCCTGTCGAGAAGGAAGAATTCCTCTTTTGATCAAATATAAGGAAGAGCTTTCTGCAAAGACGACATCAAGTTGTTTTGTCAAAGAGAGCCCTGCAGTTCCTCTTACTAACAAACCAAGTCTGTGAAATGCGGCTGTAGCCATTTGGACAAGTCAATTTGAAACTTTTGAGTTTGCAACACTCGGAGTACTTCTGCGCGCGCTGTCTGGGATATGTTTAAAATAGAAGGCTAACGCAATTTATACTTGTCATTGCAGCAGCACTCTCGACGTCACACAGTTTTCGTTCACTTCCTTCTTGGGATGCTTTGAATAATTTAGACAATTTGCTGAGTCATTTTAGACCCTGTTTAAATATAGCAAGGGACAAATTCCTAGAAAAATCACATTTTTTTTCACAAAGCTCGTGATATGCGTTAATGTCATTTCAAACAAAATAATGATACAAACACTTTTTTCGTTTTTATTCGTTATATTCTTTACGTCTATTAAGGAGAAAAAAGAAATCATTAAATTAGTGATATTTTACCTTGCCGAACAGTAAGTGAGGGTTGCTTTAAAGCACTGAAACAGATGTGTTTTGGGAATTCAGACTTTGATATTTGCGTCTGATCACGTACAAATTGTGGGCGGTCTAGGCAAATTTTTGTCACGCAATATTTCATTAACCTTACACTTAAATACATTTTGATAAAATAAAAAACTCCTGAAATTCAAAGACATCTTTTAATCAATTCAAGCTAAGTTAAACTATCCTATACCATACAGGAAAAACGTCAACACAAAACTATATTAGCTTCAGAAATACAAGTGATTAGCCATCAAGGTTTATATTTGCGTGACATTTTCTGTCACGACGAGGCGTCCTCCTCCTCCATTTCTCCCAAAAACCTTAAAATTAACACAGTTCAATAAATTTAAGAATTGAACTTACATGCTGTTACAAATAACATATTGTTTAGGACTATAGTATAGTCGTCGCGATATTGACAGTTGACTAAAAATAATCAAAAGGACAGTCTCTTATTGCTTCCGGTTGCTCTCTTTTGGATGGGGCCTGGATCCAAGAAGACCTGGGCGCCATATTTGTTCTTAGCCGGCTCCGCAGAGCTTGAGTTTTGTCACTAATTTTTCTGATTTTGCAGCGCTTTGATTAGCGTAAATGAATGCGATGTGGACAAAACGGCTTCTGGAGTTTAAGTGTGAGTGTATTAGTTCATCCATTTTGTAATATTGTTTGTCGGTGCTTCAGATTTTGCGCGTAAACAAACACAGCCGTAAATTGGTACAATACTCACGTGCAAATGGAGTTGAATCTCCATGAAGCCCACTTTGATGGAGTTGGCATAGAAGTTTCATTTACAGTTCTTTTACACCATTATTTTGGAACTTTGATCACTGGCCGCTTAATGGAAATTCAACTAGTATCTGTGAAGCGCTCTTTGACCCCCCTCCCCCCATCCTTTCTTCACCTCTCTTCCCCCTCCAACCCCACTAGCTCCCACTCCACCCCAAAGCACAGGAAGCTGGTCACTATTAAATCTTAAACAATTTTTAGGCATCAAGATGGTTTCTGAAAATCAACAGACTGTTAACAGTCTTCAGGCGCGGATCCACACTGGTTTCCACAGTTTTACAGAAATCGGTCAGATTTTTTCACGAGATATATTTTTAGTTAAAAAAAAGCTATGCAACTAGAAATCTTGTTCCATAACTACAACATGGAAATTGACCATGATAAAATCCTCCGATTTGCAAGGCTTCATTAGAAGAGAATGGAACTGGCCAACATCCTGTCTGAATGACTCAGAAACCCAGGAAAGGGGCCTTTAGGTAGTGAAAATCCAAAAAAAATTCCTGTGACAGCCCATGCTCCCTGATCCCCCAGAAGCTTGCGCCCTCGGCAGTACGTTTTGTTAGGAAATCGGTCAAAATTTATCCTAGATCGGCCCCTGGTCTTTCAAGGTCTTGGGCGAGTGTCCATATCAAGTGCTCAAACAGGCCAAAATACTGCAAGCTTATAAGGCCATCCCCTTTTTTTTCTCCGTTTACTGTCGTCTGACCGACCCAAATGTTTGGCATTTTCAAAAAAAAAAAAAAANCAGTACGTTTTGTTAGGAAATCGGTCAAAATTTATCCTAGATCGGCCCCTGGTCTTTCAAGGTCTTGGGCGAGTGTCCATATCAAGTGCTCAAACAGGCCAAAATACTGCAAGCTTATAAGGCCATCCCCTTTTTTTTCTCCGTTTACTGTCGTCTGACCGACCCAAATGTTTGGCATTTTCAAAAAAAAAAAAAGTAACGACGAAAAATGAGCATAGTATAGAGAAAAACAGGAACAAAAACAGGAACATTTTTTACAGTATGTTGTGCATTTTTTTCATCCAAATATGTGAAATGTTAACTTTTGATGTCGTCCTGGGGTACCAGGGCCTCCTATTCCGAGACTTCTTGTGATCTTTTTTTTTTAGGTTTTTTTTCTTTAATCTGACCGACTGACCCAATGTCAGGAAATGCATTTGACGGTAAACGAGAAAAAAAAGGGCATGGCCTAAGGGGAAACTAGGTGGGGGAGATAAGAAGAGTTGGTAAAGGTTTCATGGTGTTTTATAGTTCATGAGCCAATCCAGTTTTCTCATGCTCACAACTGATGCCACAGGGATTTTAAATACATTGGTTATAGAGGAACAAATGGCCTCTTTTCCTCCCATTACCCTCAGAGTCTCTTTCTCTCTCATTCACTCTCACTACTAGTCTTATGGGCTGGACAATCTGCAAGCCAGCGAGCCATGTGATCCGTGGGAAAAAATAGAGTTTTATGAAATTGTGAATGCATGAAAAATGTTTTCTGCTTAGTTCCGAGGTTTGCTGATGGAATATTTGCAGAATTACACAGTATTGATCGACTTTCACTGATTAACGATAAGTGCTCATAGTTTTATTGACTAGGGTTAAGCACTTGCTTTACAGATTAGGGTTAAGCGCTGTGTAGGGTTAAAAACTTTTTTTACGGATTGGGGTTAAGTGCTTTTTGGTGTTAAACACTTATTTACAATGGTTAGCTTTCGGTTATTTTTTTTCACATTACTTCTTTTTCGATTTTTTTCTATTTTTCTTTTGCATATGGCTCACTGGCTCGCACTGTGTCCTAACTACTAGTCTTGCCAAGTCTAACCATTTTTTGTACCCATTCAACTGACTACAAACAGATTGCAAGTAACAGAAGGAAAAAAATTTCAGTGAAACCATAAACACTGATTGAGAATTTCTGTTGCTTGAAAATGACATTTTTTGGGATATATTTATCTCAGTCTTGTTTTGTGACCTTCGTCATTACTTTCCTCTAAATGTTCCTACAATTTACCTATTTAAGCTACAGATAAAGTAAAATTGAGTTTAACCGGAGTACATTTTCGTGTAGACCATCGCCAAATACAGCTATTGGAAAGGATAGTTCATCGCATATGCAGGTATGAAGTTGTTTCTGTCCTTATGTCTGTAACCTGAATTATTAGTTCCTTTTTGTTTGCAAAAACTACTCATTCTAGAAGGAAACCTATTGACGGTCATGAGCTGGATAGTTTAGTCCCAAGTGTCATATTGTACAGGTGTTTGGACTAATAACTCAGGAAGAGACTTTATTTAGTTTGCTATCTTTTAAAAGCACACTGGACAATTTAAAGACCTGTCTTTAAGAAAGAGGGATTTTTGTGGTGTTATAATAATTGCTGTGCCACTCTTTTATGGTAGAAATTCTTCAACAAGCAATTCATATGAAGTGATCACAGAACTTAAGCACAGAGTTTCTCCACCTGGTTATGTACCTCCACAAATCATACGCCCTCCTTATGCTGATACAGGCATAGTACCAGAACCCCCTGAAGCTATTGAAATCAAAACAGATGAGCAAATTGCTGCTATGAAGACTGCATGTAGAACAGCGCGGAAAGTCCTGAATATCGCAAGGGACAATATTAAGGTGAGAGAATAAGAAGTGTGTGTTGTTTTAACAAGCCATTCTTAAGCTTTTGGGGCAATAGGTTATGAGGGGGTTGAATGAATAAATGGATTGACAGATTTCGCATTAAAATATGTTTTGATTGAGGACTTGTCTTGTGCAATAAATTGTGAATGGGTGGATGAGTGTATCCCTAAAATGTATAATGGTAATTGGACTGACTGGAGTCCAGTTTGGTCTGTAATCATATTAGTGACTCCTACTACATGACTGTGTGATTTGTTTAATCACGAGTATGATTACAAGCCGAATATTTGGACAACATGAAGTTCTGTTACATTACCAATTAATCATAACTATAACAAAATTTGTGATATCTTAAGCTTTCCTAAAATTAAAACACAGGATATTCTAATAGTTTTTTTGCTAGAAGTGAAAATAAAAACCCATTCAAGTGCGCGTGCACAATGACGCGTACTGTCTTATTAGTGCTGAAATCAGGATAGTTGATAGCCAATCAGATTTGAGAATTTCGTTATAGTTATGATTTGATGGATTACAAATCAGTTTTGAATTTTAGCCCAGATTCTGGACCCTGCATTTCTCAAAGTTTAGATCACAGATTTTGTACAAAAATTGGATCAGAAACTTTGGTCAGCCGTGGATGAAAAGCTGGTGACTTTGTCAACTTTTTGTTAATAAAGACTTGTCCAATCTTGTTGCTAATTGTTTACTGCACGAGATCCTGGGGAAACCCTTGTAAGACCTAGTGAAAGGGAGATATATAGATTGGTGGATGTTTCGAGTATCAAAGAAGCAATTTTCAGGTAACTACCTTTTTTTTCTTTTTGTGCTACATTTCCTGTCCAGTTTAGGAAGAAATGTTAAGAAATGTGCATTTAGTTCTCATAAAGAGACTTCAATGAACAAAATGTGTACCTTTATACAGTTGTATACTTTTTGGTCATCAGAGTGGCCAGTTTTCTGGTTTCTAGTGTGTTTTATACATGTAGCAGTTGTAGTTTTGTAGTTTTGGGTGTGGTCTTCCCCACTATATTAACTAAGTAAGCTCTAAGCCTTCTGTGCTTTCTTTTAAGGTAGGTGTCACAACAGAAGATATTGACAAAGTTGTACACCAGGCAGCAATCTCATTTGGTGCTTATCCTTCTCCGCTGAACTACAAGGGATTTCCCAAGTCTGTTTGTACATCTGTTAACAATGTCGCTGTCCATGGAGTGCCTGATAGGTAATGTAGCTCTCATTGATATATCATGGCAGAATAATGAGGGGGACATGGGGGTTTACGGTATTGCGGTATTGAGCTTTTTTTCAAGCGGTATTTCGGTAATTTTGATTTTAATGTGCAGTATTGCAGTATCATCCAGCCCTGCGGTATGTGGTTTTTCATCCCTCTGGCTAACCGTATTCAGTAAAAGAAGATCCTTCATGGTATAATTTGCGGTACTGTTCATTTGCCCTCTCCTGTCTAATGTAGGTCAATGTTTGGAAGACTTTAGACTTAACCGTAAATGAATACACAATTTCTGACAATTACTCTATGATGAAATTGGCAGGACATCCAATGACCTGGCTTTTCGATCGTTGTACTGATCAATTCGAGATCTTCTCACGTTTTCTCGTGAAGGCTGAGGTTGATTTCTGGCGTATACATGCTTCAGATAAAAAAAAACAAACAAACAAACAAAAAAACATGTGAGATGGATACAACATTAAGTAAGTGTCAGAGATCATAAATGCGGTATCGGTATTTCGTCCATTTTCGACACGGTATTTTGGTATTTGCCAATTTTTCGTACGGTATTGCGGTATTGGGTACCCCCCAATGTCCCCCTCAATAACATCTAAATCAACTACTCCTTCAAATTAATGTCTTTGAAATACACACACACACAACCAAGAGAAGTTCTATTTATGTTGATTTATTTTATTTCGTCTACTTGTTACTATTAGGAGGATTATTGAAGAATTAAGTATTGTTTCTTAACAATCACCAATTATTTTGAGACAATACTTGAGATACATTTTGGCATAAGATGGCTTTGTGAATCTGACACCTTTGCCCACAAATAATTATTGATGCTGTACGAAGCCCCCTCTCTCCACACAGGTTTTAATCTAAAAAACCACTTTTTTGTCGATTTGCTCTTCTATAAATCTTTCCCATAATCTTTTGACAATTTTGCTAACTGTGGAGTTCACGATAGTTACTGACAATAGTGAAATTGTATATCGTTGCAATATGTTCAGAAATAACATATGAAATTATTGATAATTTAGTTCTTTCCACTTTGTCTTTACAGTCGGCCCCTTCAGAATGGTGACATTGTCAGCGTGGATGTTTCGGTAAGTGTAATCCCCAAGCAGTTCACATCATTTTTTTTTTATTTTAACAAAACTTGGAGATGCAATCAACCAGAACTTGTTTATTGTTTATAACTGCTAGGCGCTACCCCTGTTTGGGGAACCGAAACTAGATGAATAAGCAATGATTTGTTGTCCAAACCGGGCTTTAGAACAGAATTTCTCATACCTGAGAACATCCAAACGTTTTAAGATCCTTTATCATCATCCATCATTTAGTTAGTTGCTTGCTTATCCCTTGTACTGGCTACATATACGCTGTCAGAGTTCTTATGTGTAAATATTGGTAGAAGTAATATATTAAATGTTATTTATTTCTCTACTACTGTAAGCCTAGATGCAGTGCTGGGAAAAGAAATGGGAGAGGAGGAACGTCTTGTGTACTGTGTTTTTCTCTGAAGGGGCATAGGACAGGACTTCACAAAGGCTGTTATTCCTGGTATATTTAGGTCTAATGTTAACTGTTGCCAATTTTAGGTCTATATAGGAGGTGTACATGGTGATCTGTGTGAGACTTATGCAATAGGCTCTGTGGACCCACCAGCACAAAAATTATTAGAAAGCGGTCGAATGTGTTTAGATGCTGCTGTCAACATCTGTAGCCCTGGTACAAGGTTTTCTTGGATTGGTAATACAATAAGGTACATGCTTTATGTGCTGCAGATTGCTTTAATAGTCATTTAAAGCAAAGAAGTGGAACACTTGTATAAGTTATAGACCATTTTTAAACTTTTCTTTTTTGTTCAACTTTTGACTGGGACTATAGTTAGCGAAAATCCATCAAAATGGCTGGAAAGAACCCCTTAAAATCTGTAAAGCTGCCAAGTTTGAGAGTGATTTGTTGTAAAGTAATGAAGAGATATGTGTAGCTCTGCAAAGTTGCGGAATTTTACAGTCGTTTGTACGGTGGGGGCAGGTTTGTGTACCACACCACACAAACCTCTTTTTGGAGCAATATCTTTGCTTGCCTTAGATGCCAAGGCTTAGTATATTTGTTAATTTTAAAGCACCCTCTCCTGCAGTGTGGATGGATAATTGCTAACTGGTTCCAGACAAACAAAAGTTGGAAAAAAAAACGTGGAAGGGTCTGTTATGGTCATAGGTACTCTGAAGGGTACTGCTCTTTTTCCCTAGAGTTCATAATAAGAAGTACCCAGTCCCCCCACGTCATGATGATTTGGCTAACCCAAGGGTCTTAATTTTGCAGCTTCATGGCTAAGAAAGATGGATTTAGAGTTTGCCCTTATCTGGCAGGTCATGGTGTAGGATCAGTGTTTCATGGACCACCTGAAATCTTGCACACAGGTGTGCATGTAAGCTATTATAAAACAAAATGGTTATAAATAATGGTTATACTTCAGTAGTGTAATCCTCCATTAAGCCCCCCTTCTCTAACAATCTCCCCAAGATGTTATTTAGTCCCCCCTCCCCTCCCTCATTATTTTCAAATGATAAACTGAACTGTAACACTTCATGTGGAATGATTTGGTTATGGTGTATTCACGTGTTGGAAGTTCTTATTTGTTCTTGATCTTTGTTCGTATGACCTCCAACCTCATGTGACTGAGCTTTTCCACTTTGTGAACTAGTTTTTATGGAGAACTGATACCATCATTTTTGCTAAATTAAATAAACCTTCCTCCCTATCAACCCCCTTGCTCAACAGGGGGTTTATGTTTTTTTTTCTTTACTTTGTAGTTAATTTCAATCCTGGAAAAATGGAGGCAGGAATGACATTTACTATAGGTAGGTGTTTTAAAACAAATGTGTCGTTTATTCCCATGGTGCTCTGCATGCATAGCAGGAAATTCAGTGCCGGATCCAGACTTTGAGATAAGGTGGGGAGCGCGGCAGTCTCCAAAAAATTTTTTTCAGCCCTTCAGGCTACAGTTTGGTCTTCAAATTAAGGGGGGCTTGGGCCCCCAACCCCTACCCTGGATCCGCTACTGAAATTCATCACTAACAGGGGCTGAGCTAGGATTTTTCAAGGGGGGGGGGGGTAGGGGCCAACCTGTGTCACCACTAGGGGATTTTCTAGATTGGCATGTCGACATCCGAGCCGGGTTTTACTGAAAGTGACGGTTTTTTTTTCCGATGAGCCGTGGGTGTGGGGGGGGGGACAAGCCCACCAGATAACCGCCATGATTAAAAATTTTTGCTACTGGGCAGCGGCGCTGTCACAAAAAATTTTTTTGCCGCCCTTCGGGCTGCCTTGGGGGACAAAAAAAGGGGGGGCCCGGGGCCCCCACCCCCCCCACGGACCCCGCACAGAAAATAAACCACAAAGGGGGGCGGGTGTGGGTTTTTGAAGGGGGGGGGGGGGTAGGGGTCACACTGTGTCACACCTAGGGTATTTACTAGATTGGCATGTCGACATCCGAGCCGTGTTTTACTGAAAGTGACGTTTTTTTTTTCGGATGAGCAGTGAGTGTGGGGGGAGGAACAAGCCTACAAGATAGCTGCATAGATTAATAATTTATGCTACGTGGAACTTAGTTAGTAAGTTCCAACAGAAACTCATGGGGGGTTGTCAACCCCTTATGTCTATGAGTTTCTGGTTCCATGTAGCGTAAATTACTCTATTTTAGTTACGAAAAGAGCATGGTCTACCGCAGATGTTAGGTCCTGCATCTGGAGTAAGTAACTATCTACAATCCCGGACAAAACTACTTGAGAAAGTTTTCCCCATCATGTCCACTTTCCTATGCAACAAAACTATTTCCAAAACGATGCCTTTGCGGAAAGAAAACCCCTTCCCCCAATTCAACGTTGCTTCCCACAAACACCCCGGGATCAGGCTTTCTTTTGAATACACAACAACATTGCTTTCAGGGGGAGGGGGAGAGGGAAGAACCGGTACAGCTACGATGTTTAGAAAAATGTTGTCCAAGTATACAATTTTCTCAACAGTTTTGTCCAAGATTGTAGCACTGGAAAAGATTTATTGCATGTTAATTCTTCAGATTCATGTGATTTGGCCATCTGAATTATCGGGACATAAAACAATTATCTCACAAAGGGGAGGGGGGGTCATAGACACCCCAGGACCACCCCCTACTAGCTATGCCCCTGACTAAGACCATGGTGACAAACAAGTGAAGACTGCAGGTTCAGTTCAATACAAATCTTGAAATGCGTAGTCAAAATATGGCGTTTTTACCATGTTTATTTTTAATATTTCAGAGCCTGTTCTTTGTGAAGGATCACCCACAATAAAAATTCTGGAAGATGGCTGGACTGTCATCACTGAAGATGGCAAAAGGTATCACCTGTACATGTTTCTCCTCCAAATTTGGTTTGATGTAATTATATGATGTAAATTGAACAGAGGTCAAGAGCTTGGAGCTGAAGGTCATGGCCGGTCTGCACCTTAAGCTATGTCATAACAAATTTTCTTTTTAGAATAATATTAATTGTTAGTATAGAGGTTCAACTGTTTTGAGATTAAAGCTGTGTCATTTTTTTATTTTTCTTCTTTAGGACAGCTCAGTTTGAACACACAGTGCTAATAACAGATACAGGTGTTGAGGTGCTTACAGCAGACACGGAAGATTGACACAGAAACCAGCAATTTGGTTTTTATTCTATCTTCTCTCTGTCTGCTGGAGTGAGGCAGTAAGAAGAGAGACCTTGGAGTTAAGAAGAGGGCTGGAGTAAACAAATATAAGTGTATATTTTTAATAAAAAAAAAACAACGACAACAGTAGCGAATAAAGATAATTGGTCATTGAAAGGAGTAATGTTACATTGTTGAGACTGTTGCTGGCTCTCACTCCCTATATTTTTTTTTATGCTTCTGCCACTCAGGTTACTTGTAGGTTGATGTCCAGTAGCCTCACCCCTTATTATTTGTTTTTAAAGATTTTTTTGCATATAAAACACTCTCAAATGTATAAAAGAACTTAACTTCAAGCTTTTTACGGTGGAACCTCGATATAACAAAGACCCAAGGGACTGGCGAAACATGTTTGCTATAATGACGTTTTGTTCTATCGAGGTCCTTTTTCATGTATCTTACTTTTTCTGGGGTAAAGAAAATCAAGGACTTTGTTATATATCAAAGTTTCACTGTACTGAGCTGATGACAATTTGACTCAGTCCTTAAATTTTTCACAGTAGATCCCCTATGAAAGGAAAAGGTTTCATGAAAGGTTTGGCCAGCATGCCTGGTGCTGGCTTTGATTTGCAGGTGTGGGTGTCACTTAATGTGTTAGGATTAGGACCAGGGTTCAATCACACCCCACAAACCTGCACCCCCCGGCATACAGCTTATTACAGTTGATGGCATTTTGATATCGAGCTAGATATCCACACCCCGGAATTCTAAAGACTGGAATTCAAGAGGAATAATTAAAGTTTTTGAAGGGTGTGGGTTGTGATGGGGGCGCCATGAAGGGGGGCACTCATTACCCCTAGCTTCAGAAAATAGAAACTGCCTAATCTAATTACGTAATTTAGCTTCCCAAAATTACGATGCCCATCTCGGAAACTTTAAACTCGTTTTGATTTTGATTTTTTTCAAAATTATGTCAATCATGATTCCATTGTACGTTGCTGTGGCGCGCGGAAAGAGGAGAAAACCTGGAAACGAAGAGGAAAAAAAGTCTCGTTCCAGTCCTTCTCGACCTGTTGTCACTAGTACGTGTCTTCGTTTCTGGTATTGCACCATTTTCGATTGTTCGGGGTTGCCAAACAAGTTGTTGCCGTATTTTTAAAGTGAATTTCATTTTGTTAGTTCATGCCAACTTCTGATCGAGAAATGCACCTGAAGAGTTCTGCTGGTCGTCCAAAAGGGACGTGTAAGAATGCTGTTTTACCGTCTTCAAGCGCTGACTTGGTGAGGGAGAGTGGCAATATGGCCGCTCAAACCGCCTTTAACGGCCACGTGGAAAATCCCACTGAAAACGGCTACACTTTCAGTGCGTCGCCTCTTTACGAATCCAAGCCTCGTCTTTGACAATGGTAAGATGGTTTTCGTGTTTGAGTAGTTATTTTGAGTGCCATCTTATAATGAAAAACGTTTAGAAAGAACGGTTATTTCCATTCAGCCCAAAATTCCGGAAATGTCGGTTAGGAATCAAATGGAACGGACCNCATTACCCCTAGCTTCAGAAAATAGAAACTGCCTAATCTAATTACGTAATTTAGCTTCCCAAAATTACGATGCCCATCTCGGAAACTTTAAACTCGTTTTGATTTTGATTTTTTTCAAAATTATGTCAATCATGATTCCATTGTACGTTGCTGTGGCGCGCGGAAAGAGGAGAAAACCTGGAAACGAAGAGGAAAAAAAGTCTCGTTCCAGTCCTTCTCGACCTGTTGTCACTAGTACGTGTCTTCGTTTCTGGTATTGCACCATTTTCGATTGTTCGGGGTTGCCAAACAAGTTGTTGCCGTATTTTTAAAGTGAATTTCATTTTGTTAGTTCATGCCAACTTCTGATCGAGAAATGCACCTGAAGAGTTCTGCTGGTCGTCCAAAAGGGACGTGTAAGAATGCTGTTTTACCGTCTTCAAGCGCTGACTTGGTGAGGGAGAGTGGCAATATGGCCGCTCAAACCGCCTTTAACGGCCACGTGGAAAATCCCACTGAAAACGGCTACACTTTCAGTGCGTCGCCTCTTTACGAATCCAAGCCTCGTCTTTGACAATGGTAAGATGGTTTTCGTGTTTGAGTAGTTATTTTGAGTGCCATCTTATAATGAAAAACGTTTAGAAAGAACGGTTATTTCCATTCAGCCCAAAATTCCGGAAATGTCGGTTAGGAATCAAATGGAACGGACCGTTTCGTTCGGTCCGACCGGAATATTTGGGAACACCTTTGCAGACCGGTCCGGTCTTTTCGGTCGTTCCGACCGAAATTTCCCTTTCCATTTGACAAAATTGTTGTCCCTAGTACCGCTGGGTCGGTGTCCATACCCCCTCCCCCTCCCCCCACCGGTTGAGGACATATTGTCTTCTTACCTCTAAAGATTTAATTATTTAATTGCAATCACCCTTGAAGACTGGAATGCATTCTAAGAGGGCCAGATTTCAAAATTTTTCCAAAAACTTGTGCCCTCAAGAAGTGCTTTTGCCACCTTTTTTTTTCTTCTCCACTAGCCTGCGAAAACATCCGTTTCTCCTCGCTCTTCGCCACTAGGGACATTTCACGCCAAGGAACGTCTGCCACTCAGGGGCAGAAATTTCATTACTGATGATGCAAATCAATGTTTACATAAGAAATCCGGTGGTCATGGGGTTCCAAATATATTTTTGTCCAATCTTACATGTCTTCTGGTTGTTTTTGGGAAAGTGCTGTGTTTGTGTGCCAATGAGCTCCAGCAAAACTCAAATGCTTCTTCTAGAGAACACTATATTCTACCAATATTGACTGTTTTGTTAGAGATTCTTCACGTTTACATTTGACCTTTGTGGCGTTTTGTCTTTTGTCTGTCATTCGCAAACAATAGCTCAAACAATGTAACTACTCCATCGACCAATCAGCACTTCTGACGGGATTCCGGACAGATTTTATGTCATCGGTATGGAATTTCTGTTGCTGAGTCGCAGACGTTTCTCCGCGCGAAATGTCCCCAGTGGCGAAGAGCGAGGAGAAACGGATGTTTTCGCAGGCTACTTCTCCACCAACTGCAAAGCTTCTACCACCTACTTAAAATCTTATTGAAAACCCTGGGTTTGACGGGCTAATCTGAAAAACCATTTGTGGGAGGGGTATGGATATTTTCTCGACTGACACAATTGAAAGTTTGTTCTATACCCTACTTATGTTGTACATGTTATACAATCTATCTTTCAATTTTATGTTCAGGTCAAATATCGTACATTACCCAGTGCTCGAACTTAACGGTCGTCCACTCATCCAAAACGAGTAAAAATTGCCCAAAACGAGTAGGTTTTTTTGCCACTAGTCCTGTGGACGAGTAAAGTTACAGTACCCCGATAAATAATTGCTTTTGTATCTTGCTGAAAGGGGCTAAAAGTGTCAAAGCAGATAAAGAATTTCTGAAAGCGAATGCTTCGAAAACGTCGAGCAAAAATCGCTAGGCGTTTCTGGCCTGGCAGGTAAGAGTCTGGGTTCTACGCTGAGATTAAATGGATTGTGGGATTCAATATGGCGGCTTCCCGCGTTTGCCAAATGATCGATGTTGATTGAATCTCTATTTTCTTTCAAAACACAACTTCTTGAAATGTCCAAACGAAAAAAAGTTCAATGCTCACTGAGTTCTTTCTTCGGAGGAAAGCAAAATCAAGAAAGCAACACAACACCAGCACCGCCTGCTGCAACTCCGATAAAGAAAACACGTTGATGGTGGTTGAGATTTGTCTGGCAATGGCAGTGTCCTCATCTTGCTGTGAAAGGGGATTCTCTTGTATGGGGCGACTCAAATCAGAGTATCGAAACTCACTTGATGTTGAAACTGTTGACATGCTCATGAACATCTGCCTCAATGGTTCAAGTCCCGAGGACTTTACAGCTGAAAGGGCAATTTTGCATTGGAACCAGGCATCACAAAGAATGCGAAGGCCTTGCTTAAAGGATTGATGACCTAACTTAAGCCTAAGACAGCAATGAAGTTGATAAAACTGCTGCTATTCTATTTATGTTGCAACTATGGCCTGTAACTGGGAAGAATTATAATTGTAATACACTTATCATTGTTGCTATGTATCACTAAAAAGATACATGTAAATTGTTGTGTTTATTTGATCATAGTGTGGCATTTACATGTTTTTACCTACACACACAAATTAAATACGTGCAAAAAAAAATGTAAAGGGTGACCAGTAACTTTGCTCCTGGGACCAGTAAATTCTTAGCCTACTGGTCCAGTGGAAGACCAGAGCTAAAAGTTAAGTTCGAGCACTGTTACCATAACCAAAAACACAG